TTACTTGATTTCTTAGTACTGTTACGGGGAAATAACGGCTTAGAATTTGCGAAACGTAGATCGCGCATTACAGAGTGCCTAATCGGGTAATTGACCCTCAACCTCGTTATTTTCTTTATTTTCTTTATTCTTTTATTTCTTTTATTTTCTTGCTATTAAAAAGTATAAAAACGATGTAATGGAATATAAGGAAAGGGGAAAGAAAAGATAATAAAAAATGTTTATTGAATAAAATCACCATACTTATCGCACTGTTATTGACCAATAAAATTCTCCAAATCATACAAACTCGCCAAATCTATGCCTTCTTTCTACCCTTCATCCCGTTAAACCCGTAACCCCTGTAAAAAAGTGTCGCGAAGTCAAGGTTTTGCTCCGTGACTGGTTTTAAACCCTGACCCGTGACAGTACCATGCAGTTCAACAAGTTTGGAAATAAATTTACTACGGCGTACAAAAGTTCCGCCATCCAGTTAATGTTCCTTACATAATCCATGATATAAAATAAATAAATAAATAAATACAGATCATGAGGGGAGATGCAATGTTCTTTCCAAATTGAGGAATTTTTTGGTAACGTAATTGCTACAAGAATACAGTAGATTGATTTCTTCCGAGAGTTACGGAGCACAAAATTAAAATCAGAATTTCCTATAAATTGACGTTCTCTTGGTGGTTTTTTACCCTAATATTCTACAACTGAATTATTAATCACTTGCAAATAACATGCAACAAGGTATCCCTGGCACGCATAGATTTCGTATAAGGTTATTGTCCTTAATGATGTTGTTTTTTATTTTTCTTATAATTGAAGTTTTTATTTCGATAAAGTTCACACTAACATTTAAACCTTCTTTAATTCATTGTTATGATATACTGTATGACTACTGTACTGAAAATAAAATTCGACGCGCTTAGCTTTAAAGGTGAATCTGATGAATCCAATGGTACTCAAAATGAACATTTCCAGTGTCAAATTTTGAGATGTCGGCTCTCTGTTGCACGAGCCGAAACCTCCCATTTAAAAACCAAGCTTTCCATTGCGGATTCCAAAATTTTTTATTTAGAATCTAAACTTTCTGACGCGGAATCCGAAATCTCTTGTTTGGAATCGAAATATTACGTTACCCTTCTTGAAAATAACGATCTTCACACTCAGATTAACAAATTACAGTATGAAAATTATGATCTCCGTTCTCGGCTTTCCTCTTCCTGATAAAGATTTCCCAGGCTTTGGCTCCAGGTGACACTATTAATGATTATGTAACAATGAGGTGTCACCTTTGATGTACTGCCTTACAGATGGCGTCCCATGTAAGGTTCCATATCTTGTTGGAGATATATCCTACGTACACTTAAATTATATGTTAAGAGTTCTTCAAATAACAGAATGCATATTTCGACGTTATGAATAATTATTTTAGATCTATAATCCAATTAACATATGTTTATTTGTATTTCCAATACTTTCTTATTATTGTTAAAATAGAAACATTTCAACTAATAAACTTTTTATAAAGATATTTATTAAATAAGTAATTTTGATGCTTTTTCTCTTGTAAAGGCTTCACGTCGTACATAGAGAGGAGACATACTGCATATTGAAATAGTGAGTCGACATTCTAATCAAATCGTTGAATGTCTTTGTCTTATTACATTATAAAACTTCCTCTAAAAGTAATTTCGACCTTACTTGTCAATTTTTTGAATTTGACAAACGTAATATATAGTATCACTCTTAAATATACTGTATTTCTCATTTTTAAAAATGCTTATAGAAACAATAAAATAAAAAAATTGTTCCTATTTTTATTGTCAAGGAATTTCTGATGTTTAAAACAAAATTAGACGGCGAAATGTGAACACTCGGTAGCGAACGACATGTTTTGTGGTATTGGGTTATAAATGCGCGGAAATGATATGCGTAGTAGAAAACTTTGACTTTTGTTATTACCAATAGAATTACAAGAAAAACGAACACGACGTTTAATACTAATATTTTTATTGCTGTACTACTCACAACTCTTTCCTAAAATCTTTCGCCGAATGCTGTATACAATATGTACGATGCAAATTCTCCGAATTTTCGAGCAATGTTAATTTTGGTTAATAAATTATATAATACATTATATAACGATCAAGGAAAAATTATTTGGTGGCGGCCGTTCGCAGTAGCAGAGTTTTTTTTCCCTATTTTCGGTCGCATGAATTACATCCCCTTGCATTGGTACAGATATGTGCATGGAGTGAAATTTCTGAATTTTATTTTTACGTACTTTAATCACGTGATTGGAATTGTGATCGTCATGTACAGGACATTGATAGGCATAATAAAAAAAGAAAATTTTTAAGATGTTCTTTTGTTTCCTTTTTAGATATGAACACAATTGACAATCTTATATATATAAATCAGTTTTTTTTTTTGTAGATTTTTTTTATATTAAACATGTATGGAAAAGAATTAACATATGGAAACAAAGAACAAATAATTGATACTTATTTTATAGATTTAAATGTTTCAAAAATATCAATTGTGTTGTAGCTTTTATGTACAACAGTATATAATACTATAAATTGTTATAAAAAAACAAGTTCTCTACATTTTAAAAAATGATTTGACTATTCAAAAGCTATCTCATTTCGTGATGTTATATATTATTCTATCTCAAGAGAAAGATATAAACAGAGAACTAGTAGTAAGGAAACACTTTGTATGGATAAACCAATGTGATATGTTAAAGTTCCTAAGGGTATACTAAAATTAGTACAATTCTAAGGTGTATAAGATCAAGTGAAAGAGGTAATAATGATTTGTTTTATAAAGATCAAATTATTTTATTAATAAAAATGAAGTTCAACTATAATACTAATAATTAAAATAAAACATATATTCAGAATCACATAACATTTGTCAATCCTGAAGCTCCAAAGTAATGTGAAACCTGAACTTATAATAATTATTAATCTTAATATAATTTACATAGAAATTACTAATTAACATATATTATTAATTACTGTTTGATATAAAAAAATAATAGAATATTATTAATATATTTGTTTAATATTGTATTTCATTTATTATTTTATTTTATTTTTTTCTTTATTATTTTATTAATTATACATATGATATTTTAAAAAAACCACTAAGATTATATGTATATTATTTTTTATATATTATTATTATATTTATTATATTGGATAAACATATATTTAAAGGCTGTATTTTTCCTTTAATTATTTTTAGAGTTGTCTGCTCCACTCTTACATTAATAAAAAAATTTTTTAATTAATGATAAACTATTGATGATAACTATGATCTTTCCTTAAACTATTACATTTACCTTGCAATTTTAGAAGGAATTGGAAGTGTTTATATACAGTACATGGTTTTAATATATGATTTGCATATAAATAGTAGTATACTTTGATAAAAATAATAATTATAGAAGAGATAGTATCTTTGTCAAAATAGTCAAGTATACTTATTTTAATAGAGATAAATACTTTGGTGAAGATAGCAAAAAAAGAATAGTAAATGAGATTAAAGAATTTTCTAGAATAGAAAGAGATAGTTAAGTAGATAAAGTAGGTAATAAATAGTATTACAATAGATCAATGATACAGAAATTCTAGAACAAGAATAGAATATTTCAGGATTAAATGTTAGTGGATTGTTATAAGAATAAATAAAATATTAAGCAAAGATTAAGTATAACAGTGGACAATAATATTTAAAAAATATTGTTTTAAAAAATTGATTTTTATTTCTTAATAAAATTACTTATTAATTAAACTTAAGCTTTAATATTATTTATCATTTCAATACTATTTATAACTATTTTTATAATCTTGATCTAAAAAGTTATACTACTTACAACAAATTATATTTAACTTATAAGTAAAGATAAGTTCCTAAATTATTTATGAGGATATAATTCAAATGTTCTTTATTATTAAAAATTTTCATTTCTATATTAATAAATAAAAAAAAACTACCTACAAAGGTTTTTTATGGTTTTAAGCATTGATACAAATTATTTTTGGAATTATGTTCCTATTGAAATAAAGAGCTAGGAATTATGTCTTCTAGGGGACATGGACATAAAGGGACGTAAATTTTATATGCTAAATACTTTAGGGATCCATCTTTACTTATAATCAATATATATTTCAATTAAAATGATTGCAAATTAAGTATAATTGATATAAAGAATGGAAACAGATTATATGGTTTAATGAATCAAGATTTACTTTATTTAAGTTTGATAAGTAGGTAAAGGTATAATAAAGTATAGGAGAGGCTTATAATATAAATTGTATTAAATCTAATATTAAGTTTGATAAAGAATTTATTATATTTTGGAGATATTTTAATTGGTATGGTATTGAATCATTAATTATAGTAAAAAAAAATAAAAATTCTAATATATATATTAATGTTCTTGTGAAAAACCTAATATCATGGATTAATTATAATTTGAATATAGTATTTCAACAAAATTTGACATCATTCTATATATCAACATATACAACTTGGTGAATGATAATATATATTATTCTAATTTTGGATTAAATATTACAAAGTCCTAATTTAAATCTAATCGAACACTTGTAAAACTATTTAAAATATCAAATATGAAAAAGAAAACCTTTACTTTAATCAAAAAAAGAATTAATTAATATTGTATAAAAAGAGTAGAAGAATATAGATATAAAAACTTTATATCATCTAATATCTAATTTTAGATTTATTTAAATGTGTTAAAGCTATTATTAAAGCTAAAGGTGGATCTACAAAATATTAATTTTTACTATTTTAAATTCTTAAATTAATAATATAAAATTAATACTTTATTTGTAATCAAAACTTTATTAAAAAAAAATCAAATTCAAAAAAATTGTTATTTTTTTAATTATATAATATCCTATAATTTATTGTAAGGATGTATATATTATTTTAATAAATAGAAAGTAATTAAATTATATAATTAATTATTATTAATAATAATTAATTAAATTATAATAAATTTTAAAAGTTTTATTAATAAAAAATTAATTTAATTAAAAAAATTTAATTGATATATTATAATTTTTTATAAAATTCTTTTTATTAAACTCTGATTTATTTAATCTTGTTATATAAACTCTAAATTATTTAATTTCATTATAATATTGCCTTGAAAAAGCAAAAGGATAATTATTTCAATTTTGACTCATAATAAACAGTATGTTTCTATAAAATATAAGATAGAAACAGAATAAAGAAAAATAAAATAAAATATTCAAAAAAATATCAAAAACAATCAAAAGAAAATAAAAATTCATAATTTAATATATTGAAACTTTCAGTTTTTTACCTGACAGATTTCAAAATTATTAATAGAATAATTTTTAATCTTCAATAATTTAATTTATTCAATATACTGTATATTATGTTTTAAACAATATTAAATAATTAATATAAACAATTGAAATTATTGTTTTGGTTAGATTTTACAATTCTATCCTGATATTGAAATCAAAAAATATATAAATATAAATTTCAAAAAAAATAAATTAAAAATATGAGAACAAAAATATAATAAAATAATAATTTTATTAAAAAAATTTATAAAAACATTACAAAATAATATAAGAATTTAATGTTTTTATACTATAATTCTAATTTTTTCTCTTCTTCAAGATTGAGGGAAAATACAATCTTTTTATAATGTTTTGATTAATTGTAAATCACTTTATTATAATAATTTATGTGTAGGTCATCTATTTTAATATAAGGAATGGCTAAAGAATTATTTTTGTTATATTTGGGATGATTATCAAAGAAAATTCTTATCTGTAAAACAAGAAATGAAATTGCTTAAAAATAATACTATTCTAATTGTTTTTATGCCTTAACAATAATGTTCTTCTAGTATTTCTGCAATAATTACTTATAACCATAAAAAAACTTACAACTTGGGTTTTAAGCTATAATGCTCCGAATTAATGGTTTCATTTGAAATTCTATAGGCATTTTGAGAATTTTTTAGAAAAATATTACTTTGCTATTACAAAAATATATATATAATGAGAAATAATAATAATTTATGATAATATCTGATAAAATATAACTAAAGTTAATAAAAATTTCAAAATTTTTTAATAACAATATAAACTCTGACTTTCAATCTTTAAATCCAATTTATTATAGAACCACAGATCACGTATTACTGT